TGTAGCATTATCAGGAAGGCATAGGGCGTATATCTGTTCTGGTTTGGGGTTTTTTTAGTCTTGTTTTTAGGAAAGCTGCTCTGTCTAAAGTAATGCAATCCTTGTAAACTTGCCATAGCAAGAGGAGAGGAGGGATTCAAGCCCGGGTAACCTGTAACAGTATCAAGTGATAAGGGCTTTGGTTGGGTTTTTCTCTGTAAGTTTCGACTCTTGGGTAATAAGCTCTCATTAGCCTCTTTTGTGATCATTAGAAGTCTTTTAAATCATTAATCAGTGCTTTGGAAATGGAAAAGTGATCGCTGCCCACTGCTGGTGATGGGTTCTGCCAAAGCTGACATAACGAGTTCCAAGATTAATTCTCCCAGAGCACTGGGGTGTTGGTTGCTTAAGGCAGTTGGTGTCACCAAAGACTTATAATTGCTTTTGAATCATAGATTAGTGTAAGTAGGGTTTGTCCTTCCCAGAGGGGAAAAGTGTTTTGTTTTATTTTTTCTCAATTTGGAAAAGCTCTTACATTGCCCTTTCTAGTTTGTCATTTTTTGCCTTGGAGACAGTTAAGGACTAAAGGGAAATTCAGTAGTGCTGCCTCTAATAGTTATAACTGTCGCTTTTGTTGTGATGCTCTGCTTGGTTAAGTTATTCTTTCCTTAGCCACCCCTGCACTGCAAATTTCCAATATTTCTGAACTAGCCTAATCGTTAGGCTGTTTTGGGCAATTAAGAGAGACAGAATTTTTCTGTAAGAACGAGGATCAGTTTGTTTATAGAACAGGAACATGTGGACTTCTGATGCTGTGGATGTAATTTTTCCCCTTCCCCTTTTAGAGGACCATGTCAGGGGTAAGCCAGGCTCTTTCTGTCCTGCAGGCTGTTGTTCCCGGGCCAGCTGAGCACCCCTTGCAGTACAACTACACCTTCTGGTACTCCAGGCGAACGCCCGGGCGGCCCACGAGCTCCCAGAGCTACGAGCAGAACATCAAACAGATCGGCACCTTTGCCTCCGTGAGTACACCCCTGTCGTGGCTGGCTCAGCCCCTGTGTGAGGGGTGGGGGTGTGCACACACAGGCTGTGCTCTCGCTGTCAGGAGCAGGGGGGAGTGATGTGCCAAGACTTACAGATGAGCTCTTGAATTGCCTACAGCAGATGATGTGTCTTTAGCAGTTCTGCTCTGTGCTAGACCTCCGTGCCTGCAGTAATGGTGGCAGCTGGAATAATAATTGCAAAAAAAAGGGATCTCCCTTGTAGGTCAAATGTGCTGGCTAGAGCAGGACTGGACAGGCCAGCAAGAGAAGAAAGGAACAGCTTTTTTGGGTGTATGCGTGAAGCAAAGACTGTATAGTCCCCCTCATGCTTCCTGTATTCCCACCACAAAGACTGTGTTTGGATCAGGCATCTGACCTCTTGTACTTGCAAACACCTGGAGGCCTGTTGTCTGTCTGGAAGTGATGGACAAGGTGCAGTTTGGTGTTGCAGTGAAGTTCATTAAAAGGCAAACTGCTCTCCCTTTCCTCTTACATTCTTTGTGGTTGTTTATTCCTGGCATAAATTTGAGTGTGTCCTTGAAAGGCAGTGTTGGCTTGTTGTATGGTCCTGGGAATGCAAAACAGTGGGTGCGGGCCCGAGGGCTGGGGGCCGTGAGACAGCGGCCGTCCCGCACCGGGGAGCCGCGGGCTGCCTCGTGGTCCCGCTTCGCGCTCGTCTTTCCCGGCGCTTGGCAGGGAATGGGCGGGCGGAAAGACTCGTGGGGTGCCGGGTGTGTGCTCGCCTGTGCCGTGCTGAGAGGCGTGGGGAGCGGGGTGGGCGAGTCAGCAGAGTTACAGAGTTACAGTGACAGCTCTTCGTGTGGTCCCTCCCTAACAAGTCGCTGGGGTTTTCTCTGGCAGGTCAGTATCAGTAAAAATTACTTGAGTTTGTTCTAAAAAGCTATTTTGTTGCTGTCTTTAGCTAAAAAGTGTGTTCCCAAGATGCCTGTGATGGGCGCTGGCCATGCCAGGTAGAAGTAGTTTTTGCTGTGTGGGCTGTCAAGTGCAGGTTCCCAAACGCTGGGGGCCCTTGTGCCACAGAGGAGCTTTGGAGCAGAGGTTGGTGTGAACTTTCCCAGCTGTGTGGTGCCAGACTGGCTTTCTTTGTCCTTTCCTTTACCAGATTGAAAGATGATGATAGTGGAGACCATGACCAGAATGAGGAGAATAACACACAGAAAGACAGTGAGAAGGAAAAGAATGATCGGGAGAAGCCACAGAGTACTACCAAGAGGAAGGTATGGTGCTGCCCTCTGCAATCAGTCCACTGCCCGAGCATGATGTGCTAGAGAGTCAGCCCTCAGTTCAGGAATAAGGAAAATATGTCTAGGAGGGCTGTGGTCTCTTAATGCACTGTTACTGCTGTGATGAAGACAGAGGCTATGTTAGACTTTCACAATTTGATGTAGCATTTGGAGGTCTGTATTCTGAAGGGTGAATGCTCCCTCCACAAACGCAGCTAGTAGTCTGCCAGGCTTTTGAACAGGAATGAGAAATAAACCTTTATTTTCCACCAAAAAAATTTTGAAAGAGGGTGTTGGGGGAGGACTGGTTGACAGGGCACTAGAGGCTTGCAGTTGGTTTACCCAGCGGTGATGAAATAACTCATAAGATGTGTCTCTGTGTGTGTACTGTAGCATTATCAGGAAGGCATAGGGCGTATATCTGTTCTGGTTTGGGGTTTTTTTAGTCTTGTTTTTAGGAAAGCTGCTCTGTCTAAAGTAATGCAATCCTTGTAAACTTGCCATAGCAAGAGGAGAGGAGGGATTCAAGCCCGGGTAACCTGTAACAGTATCAAGTGATAAGGGCTTTGGTTGGGTTTTTCTCTGTAAGTTTCGACTCTTGGGTAATAAGCTCTCATTAGCCTCTTTTGTGATCATTAGAAGTCTTTTAAATCATTAATCAGTGCTTTGGAAATGGAAAAGTGATCGCTGCCCACTGCTGGTGATGGGTTCTGCCAAAGCTGACATAACGAGTTCCAAGATTAATTCTCCCAGAGCACTGGGGTGTTGGTTGCTTAAGGCAGTTGGTGTCACCAAAGACTTATAATTGCTTTTGAATCATAGATTAGTGTAAGTAGGGTTTGTCCTTCCCAGAGGGGAAAAGTGTTTTGTTTTATTTTTTCTCAATTTGGAAAAGCTCTTACATTGCCCTTTCTAGTTTGTCATTTTTTGCCTTGGAGACAGTTAAGGACTAAAGGGAAATTCAGTAGTGCTGCCTCTAATAGTTATAACTGTCGCTTTTGTTGTGATGCTCTGCTTGGTTAAGTTATTCTTTCCTTAGCCACCCCTGCACTGCAAATTTCCAATATTTCTGAACTAGCCTAATCGTTAGGCTGTTTTGGGCAATTAAGAGAGACAGAATTTTTCTGTAAGAACGAGGATCAGTTTGTTTATAGAACAGGAACATGTGGACTTCTGATGCTGTGGATGTAATTTTTCCCCTTCCCCTTTTAGAGGACCATGTCAGGGGTAAGCCAGGCTCTTTCTGTCCTGCAGGCTGTTGTTCCCGGGCCAGCTGAGCACCCCTTGCAGTACAACTACACCTTCTGGTACTCCAGGCGAACGCCCGGGCGGCCCACGAGCTCCCAGAGCTACGAGCAGAACATCAAACAGATCGGCACCTTTGCCTCCGTGAGTACACCCCTGTCGTGGCTGGCTCAGCCCCTGTGTGAGGGGTGGGGGTGTGCACACACAGGCTGTGCTCTCGCTGTCAGGAGCAGGGGGGAGTGATGTGCCAAGACTTACAGATGAGCTCTTGAATTGCCTACAGCAGATGATGTGTCTTTAGCAGTTCTGCTCTGTGCTAGACCTCCGTGCCTGCAGTAATGGTGGCAGCTGGAATAATAATTGCAAAAAAAAGGGATCTCCCTTGTAGGTCAAATGTGCTGGCTAGAGCAGGACTGGACAGGCCAGCAAGAGAAGAAAGGAACAGCTTTTTTGGGTGTATGCGTGAAGCAAAGACTGTATAGTCCCCCTCATGCTTCCTGTATTCCCACCACAAAGACTGTGTTTGGATCAGGCATCTGACCTCTTGTACTTGCAAACACCTGGAGGCCTGTTGTCTGTCTGGAAGTGATGGACAAGGTGCAGTTTGGTGTTGCAGTGAAGTTCATTAAAAGGCAAACTGCTCTCCCTTTCCTCTTACATTCTTTGTGGTTGTTTATTCCTGGCATAAATTTGAGTGTGTCCTTGAAAGGCAGTGTTGGCTTGTTGTATGGTCCTGGGAATGCAAAACAGTCACGAAGAGCCCAAGATATATAAGCAAAATATGTCTCCCTTAAAATACTATTCTCAAAGTCAGGAAGTCCGTTGGCTGTTTTCTTTCTTGTTTGTTTTTTTTTTTTTTCCTTTCTTTTTATCTGGTAGTTGTCGAGTTTTTTCAGGGTCTCTTGTAAATGTTGATTTTGACCCTCAGTACATATCTTCTGTAATGGGAGAATTTGTAAAAATACCCCTTTATTCCTTCTGGAGACTGCATAAAAATATGCCCGTCAGAGCGGCTGGGTTGTGGTGTTGTATCCACAGAGGATAAGAGTGGGAAGAAGAGCCTGTTGTTGTGGATAGTTGCTGCTCTTATTACCCTGCATGAGCAAGTGCTTTCAGTTCAGTGAATGAAAAATGCAGCTACTGCATGATGATCTAGTAATAACTTCTCAGTCTGTTAAATCAGTGTAGACTTAACATTGATTTTTAGCTCCCTAGAGGAAAAATGTCACATATTCTTTTGTCTGCTCTTTGCTGCAAAGAATTTGTGGGTGCTGTTGTAGGCTGGAAGTGCTGTAGTTGTCAGGATGGAGAGATTCTGGCCAGCAGAGTTGATAATGTGTTTGGTTCTAAATTCTGTTTAAGGAGAAGGAAGAGCAACCTTCAGAAGCAATTGCCTGAGCTAAGTCTGGGTTCAGATTTGTTCATGGCTTCTTTAGAAAGCTCTAAAAGCTGTGAAATGTGAACCACTAGAGGGCATGTGCCCCCGTTCTGGGAGTGCAGTTTCCACACGGCATTTGGATGTGTCTGGCAAAAACAGATTGCTTCTGACCCCTCCTCAGCCTTGGTTCATAACTTTATTGTCTATAAAAGGGATGACAGAGGTCAGAGATTGGAGCAGAATTCCAACTGCAGACCGAGTCATTAAGGTCTCTGAAAAAGTACTTGGGGTGGTGTCTGGCCCCTCCAGCTGCACTGCTGGTCTGCTTAATAGCTATTGTCTTAAATGAGTAGAGTCCTCTTAAACTATGGAAATTAGTATAATGTCTTCCATTTCTTGTTTTGTTTTAAAGATGTATTTCTCTAAAATCCTTTTTTACCCAAAGATTCTCAAAGGATAAATGTTATTTTTAAGAATTATAAAAGATAACTGCCTTTCCTTGCAGTCAGATTGTCTGACCCAGGGGTGCCAGAATGGAACTGCTCAAAGTGAAGTGGTCCAAGTGTACAGATCTTAAACTACCACCAGAGGATGTATTTTGTCTTAAAATCTGGATACAGTAAAATTAAATTTAAAAAATGTCTCATTTGGATGCTCCTGCAGTCTCCATGGTCACAGAGAGCAGTGGTTAGGCAGGGTAGAGAGGCTTGGCTGTAGCTGATGCATTTGACACATATCCAGTCGTTGAAAGTTTGGGCAGTAGGATTTACAAGATATGGAATTGAAACTGTTCTCCAGAGCAGCTGTTATCTTAGCATGGATTTCTTCAGACAAACACCGTGTGACTTTAGAGGCACTTGTTGAATGTTTCAAATGGTGATCTGGGAATGGAGCCTGTCAGAAACAGGCACCCAAGCTCTGATCCTACTACTGCCTTCTGTGTTTCCTAATCAACACCCTTGTGACAGGAGAGTACAACAGAAGAAGGGACGGTGACTCTGGCCAGCTGGTGGAGAAATGGAAGCCTGTTTCTGTACGAATCTGGACTGTGAACAGTTTGAGCAGCCTCATTGTGTGGTTCCTGTTGTTGCAGGTGGAGCAGTTCTGGCGGTTTTACAGTCACATGGTACGTCCTGGGGACCTGACAGGCCATAGTGACTTCCATCTTTTCAAAGAGGGCATCAAACCCATGTGGGAGGTGAGTTGGAGCTCTCATTTCTGCCTGGATATTTTCCCAGAGTATTTTGGAGGGAACCTTCTACAGTAGAAGGACTCTTGTCATTAAATGGCACTCCACTGGCTTCTTTTGGGTGCAGTCCTTTCTTCAGGGTTTCCTGTTAACTTGTCCCGAGAGGTCTGTCCCATGTGACCTGGCAGTCCTGGGACGTGCTGCCAGAGAGGGAACGTGTGGGATTTGCTGGTTGCCACCCCCCACAAAGGTTGCTGAACATCTTTGCCTGTGGGTCCAGAGGGTCTCTGGGCAGTGTTGCCTGGACCCCAACTAAGCTCTGTGCCTCCCAATGCAGACACTTGCCCCTTAGTGCCTCCAGTGACACCAGTGCAGGCCTTTCCTCTAGAAGGGCTGGACCTGTCTAAGTGGAATTCAACAAAGCTTATAAAAACCAACCCTCCTTTTTCAGTGAAGGAAGGCAGAGGTGCATGTGGTTAAAAGCCTACAGTTGCACATAGAGCTGGAAATGGAAAGACAACTTAGCGTTTTATTTGCCTTTTTTTTTTTTTTTTTTTGTGTTCCAGGGCACTGAGTTTGCTTCTATTCCTGTCCAAATCTGTTAAAAAAATTTAAAAAAATCTTGGCCCAGCAAATCATTCTTCCAGTTCCTGGCCTGCTCCCAGCAGTGACCAATAGCATTCACAATATGAGGATTTTATGTGTTGCTCTGAAGTACCTAATTATACTGCTTGGTCCTGAGAAATTTATATGTGACCCTTGTTGGCAATTATTTTAAGCAAGGTGTTTTATAGCCAGTTACTGCAAATACAATTTATATAAAACGTTTAACCCTCTTTGGACTCCTGGTGATTCAGCTGCTCTGATAATGTGTCAACCAGAGAGTCCACAAGTTAATGATACCAGGATTTCTATAAAGCATTTCCCTGTAGCCATTTTAAGATGGAGGTGGAGAGATTCTTTTGTTTTTGTTTTTTTTACTTGTGGCCCCACTCGCTTCTTGTATTTCTAGAAAAGGACCTGGGATCTTACTGCTGGCCTTCCCTTTGCTGCACGGTTTGTAGGGCTTTGTTTATGCTTTTTCTCTTCCGAACCGGTCCTTAGTTATTCTCACTTTTGTAGGCACATATGTGTCTGTATGTCGCTGATCTTTTTCTGCATCCATCTGTGCCTTTTCTGGTAAAGTCAGAAGCACTAAGCATAATGTTCCCTGGTGATTTACTGGGCTGCAGATCATTGTTATTCTGGTAAAGGAAAATCAAATGCTTGACTGAACTGAAGCTTGTTTAACCTGAAAGAAAACTAACAGTAACCATAAAGCACATGATACAGCATCTGTCTTCCAGTCACTGCTCTCTTTGTAGTCTTGAACCTGCTTAAACCACCTTTGAGATATTTAGAGGAACATCACTCTCTCTTCTGATGCCCATTAGTCATTGTGGAAAGCTTGAAGAGTTAAACCCAACTCCCAGCTTAAAGGCTAAAGTGTGATGTTCACGACTTGGAAAACAAGGACATTTAACTGAAAGTAGTTTGCATCCCATGGGAGTATGTCACATTCCCAGTACTTGTGTTGTTTTGGATGGCTGCTGTCCTGCTTTGAGGTTTGTCTGGAGCCGATGCCTTCCCCTTTCAGTGCAGGCTTTAGCACATATATGAAAACTAGGAGTCAGGTGAATGCTGCCATTATTAAGTTTATCTACTTTTTGCTTGCTTTTAAATATCACTTTGCTAACTCTTTCCTGGGCTTCCATGTTCTGTGATGAGGGATTTCTCCTGTTTTACAAGCAGAACTACATATACAGGGAATTAGACAATTGGGGAATCAGTTTTAGGAATAGTTTTAAGGTCCTTTCCTCTGGGTCTGTGTGTAGATTGGTAGGCTGGTGTTAGTCTTTGCTAGTGAGATCAAAACACTAGAGCTCAAGTCTTCAGGGAATAGGGCTTTGGAATGCTGAGAGCCATTGTTTCGAATACTTTGTATTCAAAGTAAGTCTTTTGCCTCTGTCTCTGCTTGTATGGGGGAGAAGTGAAATGCTTTTGCTTGAAAATACCTCCGTTCTGTCCCTTGCCCCACCCAATCAATATCTGCTCCTATTTGTGGCTCTGCTGCCTTATGGGTAGCAGAAAAATAGCTCGAAGAAAACAAATCAATTTCTTGCCCCTCTTCCTAGGATGATGCCAACAAAAACGGTGGTAAATGGATTATCCGTCTGCGGAAGGGCTTAGCGTCACGATGCTGGGAGAATCTCATTCTGGCCATGCTGGGAGAACAGTTTATGGTGGGGGAAGAAATCTGCGGGGCGGTCGTCTCTGTCCGATTCCAGGTAAGTGCTTTTGAGGGCTGGCACATGCTCCCGTTTGGCAGGGCTGCAGCGAGTGCATCCACCTGCTCACCCCTCACGTGCCGTTCCGCAGGAGGACATTATCTCAATATGGAACAAGACAGCCAGCGACCAGGCCACGACAGCGCGGATACGCGACACGTTACGAAGAGTGCTCAACCTACCTCCCAACACCATCATGGAATACAAAACCCACACCGATAGCATCAAGTACGTGTGGGGGCAGGGGGGGTGCTCCAGGTCGCACGTGTTGCGGGTGGCAGGGACTGAAAGAAGTGCTCGTGTGCGTTAGGGCTGTTCCCTGCAAACAGCAGCAGTTGTTGCCAGCGCGCTTTGAAAGCCAAATACCTGTGTTGTTATCGTGCTGTTATTAGGGACATCTGGTTCTAACAGCAAAACCTTATTTTTTTAAGTGTGTAGTCCAGGGGTGTTTCAGCAATCCACCCAGCCTGTCACCTGGGTGATGGGCAGCCCAGGGTGGGACTGTGGCCTGATGTATTCAAAGACAAGATTGCAGTGGGGGGGGGGACGAGATCATTTGAATAAAAAGAGATTCTGGGGAATAAAGTGCGGAAGCTAACGGGGATTTATAGTGCCATTAGACTTATAAATGGTCTTGGGAAAGTGCTGTGTGAATTTACAGTGCTGTACAAATGATTTCTAATCATAATAAACGTCGTATATTAAGTCTTCCAGGCCCTGGTGACAGAGGCTCTTTAACAAGACTAGAAGATCACGGTACACAGAGAGGACAGCTGTATTTTTAAATAAATGTGTTATAGCTTACCATACCAGGCCATTCAGGGTGACTTTTATTTTCCACAAAGTGACGCAAAATTGCATATATAGGTATTAGTTAGAGGTGAGTTATGTAATTTTTTTTCTTTTTTTCTTAAGTTTTATAAACTAATACACTGATTAGGTCATATTGGTTCAATTAACACTTGAAAAGGTGCACCTGGAAGAAGTGAAACAAATTAATAAGACACTGATAGGGCAATGAGCTTTCTAATCTAGTTTGTAATCAGGGTGCCAAGTACTTTTCATGACTTCCTTTCATTATGGTGGCTTGTCGTTTCCACGTAATCACCCTGTCATCAGTGTGCTGTCAGACAGTTTGGTGACATCAGTCTTAGTTTTAGCAGACAGCTGGCTGCTGGCTGTGGCCAGTTTTGAGTGTGGGTAAATTAGTAATTATACAAAGATCTTGGTGGAACAGCCTCTAGGCATCGTGTTCCATGTGGCCCTCCCTCCTGAGTGCGTGGGAAAGAGGAGGGAAGGAGATGATTTTTTTCCATGACTTTGCCAGTAACATTTCTCATGCACTTTCTGCCAGGAGAGGGCACTATGGACTCTCTGTCCATGTTGGGAAATAGCAAAGTGCTCTCGTGGACACACAGCAGAGTATTTTACTCTTGTTCAGCAGCAGCAGACTGCAGACTGGTGATGCGGCTTTGTGGTGAGAGGAAGGTGGTGTTTGACTTCTCTAAGTCTCTGTGGGGAAAGCTGTGTATGGAGCCAGCTGTCCTAAGTTGTTGTGGTGGTTCATGTAGCAAGTGTAGAATGGGAATGTTGTGGCCTTTCTCTTTTACACTATTGCCACCAGCACTTTATAGCACAGAAAAGGCTGCTGTAGCAATGTTTGTAACTGGTAGGTTACAAACTGGCAGGTGTCAGGCCTTGAGTGATGGTGCATCCAGCAGTGTGGCTTTATTTCTCTACACCAGTGTAACATGGTGTGCTTTCTGCCCTCTCTTCCTGCATAGCATCCAAGCTTCATTTTGTGTTGCTGACGTATGGTGCAAAATGAGCTTGTGTGAGAATAACAGGTGTTTGGGGTATCAAGTTTAGTAGTTCAGATTACAGCTGGGAGCAGTTCTTAAACAGAGGCCAACTGGCTCGTCTCCCACTCATTCTTCTGTGGGTAGGAGGGTTAGACAGAAGCTGGTTTGATGATGTCCTAGTCAGGTAGATCTAAGCAATTAACCTTTTGCCATGTAGGGCATAAAAAAAGCCCCTTTTTTCCCATTGCCTCGCTTGAGCTGCAGCAGTCTGATTGCAGTGCTGTCCAACATCCCCTTCAAATGGCACTGGTGTAAATTCAGAGCAGAACTGCTGTCAGTGGAGTTTCTGTGTAGTGATGCACAGACTGACCTCTTATGCCTCCCTTGCCTGGTACCAGCAGGCAGCAAAGGGGCAGCAGCTGCAGAGAAGTGACGGTGGCTGCTTTGTGACAGAGAAGAGCAGGACAGCCCCAGCTTTCAGTCTGACTCTGCTTGGCTTCTCTTCATGTCATTAAGGTTCTCTCACTAATGAAGAATCTCTTGTGTAACTAGTTCTATCCTCCATAAAATCTGGCTCCTTTTCCTCACCCATCTATCAAGCCCTGTTGAAATACTGTCCGTCATGAATAAACTCCACTTATGCTGCACATGTACCATGTGATTTATGACTCGGGAGGGCTTTCTAGCCAGCACTATATTCACACTCTGGCTGTGTTTCATGAAAAGCTCTAATGGAAGAGCTGTGCTGTAGGCTTTGTCAGGGCTCCCTTTTGAGGGGGGGGCTTGTGGCATTTTTCATTTGTATGGGCTGCATCTCTCCACTAGAGCTCTGCTCATGTGCAGGGTTTGATTGGCATTGATTGTGCTTCAGGGAAGGGAGCATGCTTAGCAAGAAAAGAGCAGGCATTTCTCAAAACCTTGACTTTTAGGTGGTGAATTGACCTGGATTAGCTTTTGACACACTGTAAATGAACACTTCTGTAGAAATTACTAGCATGCCCCTCACTGTGGAACCTGAGCCCTGTGTTTCAGGTTTTATATATTCCTTTTGTGATGATGCATTTCATATTAAATCATTTTTAGACACCATTTTTCATGAGTTGTCAGTGAGGCTGCAGCCCCTTTTGTTTCAGAAAGCAGCAGTGCTGCCAAGTGGCATCTGAAAAGTACCTGTTGCATCACAGCTATTCCAAGGAGCTGTTCTGCATTCTGTCCTTCCAGCTCTCAGTGATGGGGCTTGTGCATTTAGCTAGATAAGCAGATCTTTCATTGCAATTTTCCTGTGTTTGTCCTTTCTCTTGCTTGTGATATTGACAAGCTGCCTAAATCCCAGCGAGTGGAAGGGTCAGCTTAGTCTGTATGAATTTCCAATCTTGCTAGGAGAGCTAGAACAATCTCTTGGACTCTGTTTAATTCCAAGGGATTTATAGTACCTTAGACGTTACAGTGCTGAGCACCTGAAGAGTACATATGTGACATTTTGTGGGCTGCCTTGTTTCAGTAGCTGGAGAGAAATCACTTCTCTTTGTTCCCTCAGAGGTGAACTGAGAGAGGTGCACAAGGATGCAGTGAACCAATTCATGGGTTCTGTTCATCAGCGTTGTTAACCTTGGAGGTGACATGGTCCAGAAGTGATGGTGGGTTATGGACAGTGGTACTTCCTGTGGTTTGGAATTAAAGAAAAGAACCCCAACCTCTTTTGCTGCCATAGGAGGGGCACTGTGCTTTTTTGAAAGCAGGATGTTTCCAGGCACAGCCTGGCGATGTCTCAGTGAAGCCACTGAAAACAGTCAGGTGTCTGTAGTCAGTGAACTGCAGTTCGGAGAGGGGTGGAAGGGAAGTGAACACTGTATTATTTGACTTTTGAGCACTGCAGCATGAAGTTCTTGTCTGTCTTGCATACACCTTTGCCCTGCCTGAGGTAATCAGATTAGCCTTTCTTTTCTGCACTGATAACTGTGTGGTCAGTGACCATCTCCTGTGGTGAGAGCTCTCACCCACAGTACCATCCAGGAATCCCAGGCAGATTCAGTAACATTGCTTCCTATACCAGGAGGGAGCAGACCAGTGGCCATCAGCAGGCTGCCACTGAGAGGGCTGGTCCAGAAATGTTTTGGTTGCTGTGTGACGTTATGGATCGTCCTGTCAGCTCTAAAGCAAGGCTGCTTTTTCTGAAAACAAAGCTTCAGTTATTCGTAAGTGCCTGCTGCAGTGAGAGCTGAGCAGGGTATAAAACTATCCTTTCCTTTCAAAGTCACCACTGATAACTAATGGGATGGCTCGAGTAAATGAGAAGAATAGTTGATCTTAATAGAGCTGGCACTGGGTTCATTTCACTGCAGGCAGTTGGAGGAAATGGCCTCAGACTGTTTTAGCTACCAAACAAGCAGATAGCCTATGAAGGGAATAAGGGTGTGGACTGTAAGAAGACCACAGGGTTGAGGTTCTCAGGACAAAAACAGTGAGAAATGACAAAAAACGTGACAAGGAAGAGAAATACCCGTGGAAGTGGCAGAAGTTGGGCAAGAAGATCAGTGTTTGTGTGACAGTCAGCTGGTGGTAGAGTTCTTGTGAGGTCTCCCTTGTCACAGCAGAGTACAGCTAATTCTATAACTGTTACGGTTTTATAGCACTGGTTTCCATTTGCTTGCCAATTTGCAAAACCTCGGGAGAACTCCTCAATATTGCTGTCCTGCTTGTGTCACCTGTGCCTTTGACCATGTCTTAAATGATGTGTGCAGGGTTAACCTTGTCTAAAGTTAGATGGTTGCCCAGTGGGACCCTTACACACTGTCTGATGCCTGTCAGGGAAAGGCAGGTTGCCTTGGGTCTTGCCAGTCTGGAGACCTGCATTTCACCCTCAATCCTTCAAGTCTGAGAGCAGGAATAAAATCCAGAGAAGAGCAGTGAGGTTCCAGATCTGATAGCTGTCCTTCTCCCGAGTCTTTGCAGTTCTGACTTAATTCATTTATCGCTCCATTCTCCAATTCCAGTAATGTTTCCAGGTGCTGCAAGTCTAAGAGCACTTCTATAGACCTGGACTTTGAATTGATGGATTCAGTGATTTATTCTCCATCACTCATAGTATGCTTTATTTAGAAGTGCATGACTTTGTGAAAGGCTTCCTTATCTTGGTGGCCTGTCTGTTACCAAAGAAGTGACAGTTCAGTTTTGTTCATTTGAAAGTCGTGATGGGTTCTCTATTTGCCTTTGCTACAGATACTGCCAGGTAGGTGAAAGAATTATATCAGGCTAGGGGACCATCCTAGATTATTTTTTTTAAAAGCTGTTAGTCACAAAGTGTTTGTCTGGCTGTGAAGAAATCCCAAGGGGAGCACCTAGGAAGAGGCTGTGCTGTCCTGGACACCTGCAGAGCGTTAGGAGTGGTCAGTGTGCTGGGAGGTTGCATGTGGGCTGCCAGAAGGATCAGACCTTCGTGCCTGTTGTGAGGTGGATGAGTGCACTATGAACTCTCTGAATCCTTTTTGAGCTGGGGAAGGAGATGGTGAGGAGCAGGGCTGCACAGGGAAATACTAAAGGGAAACTGCTATGACATACAGATTGAAGGTGGTTGGAGAAAACAGCTAGTGTGGCTTGCACAATGGTGATTTGGAAAGTCCGTTCAAGTGGCTGTGACTGTTCTGTTCTTCCTCTTTTTGCTGGAGTCTTCCTCTTTTTTTTTCTTTTTTCTTTTTTTGAGGAGATAGTGGCTCTTTTTTGCATTTTTTTTTCTCCAACTTACTTGCTGAGGATAAAGGGAGCCCTGCCTAGGTCCTGACCCTCGGCAGTGGGAAGTTTCAGCAGTTGTGGGTCAGGAATGAGTGTGGAAGAACAGCACTGGCTGGCTTTATTTAGCCTGCTAATGTTTCCATTTCCCATCTGTTCAGTGGGAATAATCTAAGTGTTGGGGATCAATTCACTGAGTATTTGATCGCTGCACAGACAGTACGGCAATAAGATACTAAAAATGTCTACACATAAAAATAACCTCTTAGTCTCTCTGGCACTGTGCCTTTGGCATGTCACAGGTCGTAAAGATTCTGCCAGACGGACTGAACTGGCAGCCTTGCTGGGTGTGGGATGGAGAGCAGTTCACTCCGCTAGCATAGCTTAGGTACATCGGGGCGGACACATCCTGGTGGATTTTTTCAGTCAAGTCAGCAGATAGTTGGAGTCATTAGTGCTGTAATATGTATGGGGGTCTTGGCTTAAGAATTCTTGGCTGGATAAGCTTTTTCTCTGTGTCTGTGAGGACTTGGCAGATGAAGGACTGTGTGCATGATGTTATTGGGCTGTTGGAACAGGGAACTCCTTAGTTTGAAAGGGGTAATAAATTATTGATTATGTTGACAGATAATCTGCCCTTGTGTCCCTCCTGCTGAGAACAGAAGTTACAAGTTTGGGGAGGACTAAGGGACAGGAAAAAGAGAAGATGTGATTGTGGATGATGGGAATGTGGTAGAAATATGAGGCCTGGGAGATTGGGGGGAAGACATGAGGGTGGAGACCTTTTGACAAGGCTTGAGATGTGCAAAGCTTTCCAACCCATATTCAACAGCTAAGAGGGCTTCATATCCAGAGTTTCTCTTCTCCCTAACTTTCTTCTGGAGAGAGACAGTTGTACCCACAGTGTCTCTGTGTTTATTTGGGCTATGATTTTGCTGGGAAAGAGCATAAGACACTGAGCTGCTTTTGCAAATGCTGATTTGGAGCTTGATTCTGAGGCTCAGGGAAGAGCTAGTCTGGTGGTCTGGTTTTGGCACAGATGCTGACTAACCCAGGGTTTCCATTTCTGGAATCTCCTCTTGTGTTGCAGTGGCCTGATGAGGCAATGCACAAAACAAAATGTGAGGTAGCTGGTAAGTACCAACAACAAAATCTGCAGAGTGATCTGAGTTTATGGTTGACCTGGGTTTACTTGAAGGTCCCTGCAGCTCCATTGGACTCTGTGGATTCGGAAAATGGCTTGGCATGTGCTGTAGGCATCAGTACTGTTTTGCTGGGCATGGAGAACTATGAGGTTCTTTGATGTCTCTGATCTCAGAAGGTAATAGTCATGTTCACATTAACCTCAGCATCTTTTCCCTGAGAGGGCTTTCAGTATGCTGCCTTTGTAAAACCGACAGCAATTTCTCAGTCTGCTAACTTCATCTATCAGTAACGTTCTCCACCAGGGAATGCAGCGTTAGGCCTGTCCCTCCAACTTACCTGAAAACATTTTCATTTCAAATGGCTGTGATGTTTTTATTGGGTTGTCATTAACAATGCAGGTTTACAATAGGAAATGAGACTCTCTAATAACAATTGGATTCTGCTGCCTGATTGAAGAATTTCGTAATAACTAAGCCATGTGGCATTAAAAGAAGCCCCTTTTGGGGGGATTACCTGCATATGCAGTATGTGGTAAAGCACGAGGCCGGTAACTGGCTGAGTTTAACCAGCCAAGGAACGTGATAATCCTCCAGGAAGATGTAACATTGGCTATTTTATTAGCAATAGGAAATGGATATTCCATTTGTGACTAGGAAGGTCATACCTGTCTCTGGGTATTAATGTGGCTTTATCACCAGCAGCCAGTGGGAACGCTTCATGTCTGTGCAGAACGCTAAAGCTGCCTCGCGCTGTCAGATGTTTGGCTGGGTTTTAAGGATGCTTCTATCCACTAGGGCTATCAGAGAATATTGCCTTGCTCTCTGAAGACAAGTGCCTTTCAAACGCCATTGAATGTTTCTGCTCTTGTTAAAAGTTAAGAAGCCTTTGATCTGAAGTGCTATTTTTTTGTTTTTTATTTCATTTTTTTTCCCTCTGGCTTGCCAGGGCCTGGGAGGAGTTTCATGGCCTGGTGAACAGCAGTGGCCGCTGATCGAACGCTCCCCCTCCCTCTGTCACACCCAGGGTAGGGCCTCATCTTTTTTCCTATGTGACTTCATAGCATACCTCTCAGCTTCCAACCTTCTTCCTGTGGGCTGGCACGTTCTCTTGCCTTATGGGCCTGATGGTGGACCCATTGTGCTATTCGTTCTTTCTCAAAGATCAAAATGATTTTTTAAATTTATTTTTTTTGACCGGACCACCAGCATTTTATGTTGTGCTCTTTTGCTGGATGCTCTTTTGCTGATGTGTCCTTCCTCCGTGTGAGGCACTTGCATCCCAGACCTGGTCCCGGGAGGCTGAGAGGTATGTCTTCAGCTTGGGTGTGTTGCCTAGGGTTGACTGTAAGCAAGTATGGAGTGGTAAATGAATCCTAAGCACATCCAGGTGATGGACACAGAGAGACACCTAGAGCTTGACATACTGCCTTTGCTCTTAACAGTGGGTTGGAGCAGAGTAAATTAGTGGTCAATAAAAGCTTGTTTAGAAAGGACACAGAGTAGCTATTATATGTAGAAATAAGGTTGTGGGTAATGAGAAGACCACCAGCTACCGCTGGTAGTGGCAGCCAAGATGTGCAGAGAAAATAGCCAAGGTGAGCTCAGGGCAGTTGGGAGCCTTGTAGCTCGGATTGTTTTTCCCTTCCAGTGCCCACTTCCCTGATGGCAGGCCCTTTCCTTAAAAAGGGCCAGCAAGAAGGCTGGCCATGAGAGTTGCATTTGGTAGTAGCCAAGTGGGATCGCTGCACTGCCGAGTGCCAGAGCAGAGGAATCTGGTGGAAGGAAGCATTTACATTCCTGGGCAGTGGTATGTAGCTGCTCCAACACAGCTGAGCTCTGAGGAGCTCCCAAAACCTCCCCCAACAGTGTTGAGCAAGCAGTGTTCCCATAGCTTGCTCCAAACTCATGGGTGAAAATCTCTCTCTCTCCTCACAGGTTTGGCTTTTTGTGAGGATCAGTGGTTGCAAAATGTTATACAGACCCTTAGCAGTGTTGCTATTGTTAGATGACATTCAGGTGACCTTCCAGAAGAGGAAACCAGCTCACTTGATGAAACGTCAGCCTCTGAAGGCAGTAAATGTGCCAAGGGTATAGGAAAGCAGTGGCAGAGTTGATTTAGCTCTCAGCTGTATTGGGTTGCCTGTGCTGAGCAAGAATGATCAGAGGGCCTGGGATACACCAGTAAAGGCAAAAGAAGAGGAAATGTCCAAGAACTGACCAAAGTGTGCTGTCACGGGCGACAGATGGCAAGGGTGAAAGTCCAGTATGGGCTAGAAAGCCAAACCACTGTTGCAAATTAACCAGAATTCAGTTAATGAATCCTGAATCATGTTCCCAAATGGCAGCACAGCCTACTTTGCTGGCAAGTGCAAAGGTGAACCCTAGTCTTCTGCAGATGGCCTCCAGCATGGTTTTTGCTGTCATGTCATACCAAAGTAACTTTTTTTCACTCTACAAAGTGTTTTTCACTTCCTTCTGCACTTCCAGCTCCCGAGCCCACCTCCTGGAGGCGTTCCAGTCTGCACTGTGCTGTGCTGGTACAGCTGCCGTGCAGCTCCTAGCAGCACACAAAGGTTTAAAGGATTTCACAGTCCTGCAGAGCACCTTGCTACTGAAGCTGCTGCCTTTGCTCTTCAGCCCAACTCTGCCTGTTTGGTCTGGTTTGTGTTGGGGCATCCCAAGGTGTTTGGTTTGGGCAATTTACTGCTCTGTCCCTGTTTATGGGAATAGCTGCCAAACCTATCCTCTCAAAGTAATTGTAATTTCATTTGTTTCCAACACACCACCCTCTGTTAATGTGTAAATACACTTTGCCTGTTGCTGCTGCACCGAGGCTGGCAGTGAGCATTCGCACAGGTTTGTGTAACCCCATCTTCCATTGCTGCCCCGTGCTGCAGGTCTATAGAGGAAGGCTGTAGACCAGCAGTCTTTTCTTTGTCAGTAGCCCCTGTGACTCATGGCTGTACTCATGTGAGTAGAAGCTGCTGAAGAAACTCTTTTATTTAAACTTGAGAGAAACGCCCTTGTCAGATTAGATATTCTTTTAAGGTACTAGAGACCAGGGAGCTAAATTCGCTGACAGTATGATTAAATACGAGGGACAGAGGCAGGAAGAGGTTGGTCTGACGGTATATTTGTGCTTCAAGCAGAGTCCCTGAAATCAAATGTTTGGTAAGGAAGAGACTTTGCAAGTTGTTTAAACAACAGAATCCATCAGGGAGGTTGCCAGATTCTATTATATGCTTTGCTCACAGGAGATGACACTTCTTTCTTGTCATTGAGTGGGGATGAACCAGGATCTCCCGCTGTTCCAAGTGTTCTGGAGTGACAGGTTGACTTGTGTGAAAAGTCTCTAGTTAGGAAGCAGATCTACATAGGAGGTTTAATGAGCATTTGAGTGACATACTGGGATGGCAACACTGATAGCTTTGGTGGGTAGAATGGGGAGGTGCTGTGATCTGAAGGAATGCACATCTCTTAACCTCTTTCTTCTCTCTGTTTTCCAGGGATAATTCAAGCTTTCGAAACACAAAAATCACATTGTGAGAACAAGAGTTGGCACTAAGCTCCTCTCTCCATGTTGAAAGCACTGAGGGGTCTCTACCAGTGCCCTCGACCTCTGAAGGGACTCATGGGCCACTCTCGCACTCCTCCCTGGAGGAAGGATCCATCAAGCCCTCCAGCAGCGGTGACAATAGAGGCCGATTTTGTCTTACACAAACTTTTTTTAGCAGTGGGGCGGGAGGCCAGCCTTTCAATTAGCAGCGTGCCCTTGGGGCCGCATCTTGCAGCACTTTCCTCTCTTTCTCTACATGGCATGCAGGATCTCTGGGATTCTGCCTCAACATCGGAGCCTTTTGCTGAGGGATACCAGTATTATAAATCTCTCTGCAGCTGGGCGGAGCATCCCAGTTGAGAGTCAGCCCTGTGGTTTTCAAATGCCCCTTTTCAGTTCTGCCAATAAATTATTGGGTCTCTTTGTTTCTTTCAGTCTCTCTTTTTTTTTTTTTTGCTCTGTCTGAAATTTGGTGGAGTGATATTTCTGTAGGCAAATCCACAGACCTGCTTCTGCAAGCTCCATAAAGCATCTTCCCCTGAGCTGCCCACCTGCATGAACTGCAGAGCACCCCAAGTGCAAGTGGTGGCCAAACTTTGCTGTATTTGTGGAGTTATGTGAGCAGAGGGGTTAGAGATGTACCATCTTGCTTAAAAAAATGAGATATTTGCTTTGTCTTTGCCTCTTCTTCATACTTCTGGGTTAGCAGTGCCTTATGTGTTGGGAAGAGGGATCTGAGCTTCCTTAAACTAAGACAAAGAGATGTTTGGTGTCAGTTGCCTTGACTCTGGCTGTTGTGATGGAGAGCCAGCAGTGCTGCCCTGTGCTGGATCCAGGGAAAGGCTGAATTTGGGCCAAGCCTGTTTCTGGGGTGCACTGGGGTTTGCAAGTCTCTGGCCACTTGGGAAACTGGGCCCCCACTGGGTGTAGCAGGAGAGGGGGATGGCCCAGGCTGCTGCTCATAGCTGCGTGACAGCTGTGACCAGAACAGGGGTTGTGAGTGACCCCCTGTCCTCTGGGGTGAGGCTGGAATGAGGGGTTGTTGCCTGGAAAGCCAGCATGGCTGCAATTTGGATGCCACGAAAACAATAGGAGCTAATTATTTCCTCTGATTCTGCTTGACTACAACACTAATTGTACTCATTAACAGCTTCAGCCTTTTCCCCTTTTCCTTGGGGAATCGCACAATTGCCTTTCATTTTTAATAGAGCCTTTGCATTGGGCCCAGGAGGGGAGTCTGCAACCAGTGCTGGGGCACATCTCCTGCCCCACGTGCTCTGCGCAGTCTCCCAGGAGAAGGGGCTGCTTGGGCCAGTTTGGTCGTGACTGCGGAACTATCAGCCCATGTCTGGGACAATTACCAGCCTTGGGGACTGAGAGACCTTCAGCCTCATGACTCCAATTGCAAATTCCTTGTCTTACTACTGAAGTCTAGACTGAAAACAGCCAGGACTGGCAGAGAAAGCAGTCTAAAATATTCAGCCTTCTGAAGGCTTTGTTTTCTGCATTGAGGGTGTCAGTCCTAGGCTGTCTCTAGAGACATTCAGCACTCTGACAGCAGTGACTGCCCTGTGGTCAGGCACTTGGCATCTGGCTGTGTTCCCCAAGCTGTGGTGGCATCCCTCTCCATGTTTCTTGAGACCCCATGGTCCTGTTCCTGCTCTTGCCACTTGTTTGTCACCAGCTCTCAACCAAATGCTCTTTTTGAGGCACAGTTTGTTTTCCCTGCTGCGATCAGGTATTACTACGGCTGCTACTTAAGATTCCTTTTAAATACAACTCTCCCCTGCTGCTCTCCAGTATTTGTTAGGGGGGATTTAGTTGTAATTACATTTTGGCAATCTAAGCAAAAATAGCCTTGCAAGGCAGGGCTGAAATACTAGCTGCAGGCTCCTTTATTCACAGCACATTTAGCTTCTTGCAGATGGCATCACTTGGGGCTTTAGTGCCGTTGTTGTGCCCAGCTGCGTGTCACGTCCACCTCTGCTATTTCATGTACTCCCCCACTTCTCGCCTCTGATGCCCCGTGTCTAAGCTGGTGCTGATGAGTGCAGGCTTGCTATTAAATCTGAAAGTGCTGCGGTCCTGCTGTGCTTGCCTTCAAATAGGCTTTGTGAGTGAGCTGTGGAAGAGCCCTTCTCTGGGAGGCTGTTCCTCTCCTCCCACTGCCACTGTGGTTGAGATTTGGAGGAACTCAGCAGTGGTTCCTGTTGCTCAGCCTTGAAGGGAGAGAGCTGGCTGGGCGTGGAGTTTGTCCTCTTTAAGGCTACAACTTTTCCAGAGATCAGGAGGAAAGCAGTGTTTGATCAGTGCCAAGCACCAGGTCTGGTACCTCCTATGGCCTGGAGGGGAGGGGAGCCAAACTGTTTTTTGAGCAGGACTTTTGGTTTGTGGTCTGCTGTGTCCTGCTAATAAGAGCGGTGAAAATACAAGCATGGGGTTGCTTGGGAGGGGAGGGAGCTTCCATCAAGCTCTAGAAAAAGATTTCAGGTCCTCTTCAGTCAGGAAGGAAGTTTCTAGCCACGGGAGCCTCAAATCTGCAGTGAGTCAGGACCTTCCCTGCTTTCCTTATCCCAAAGGCTTTGTACACCCTTAAATTTCCTCAGATTCCTGCAAAGTGGCCTTTGGGAAAAGTGGAAGGGCTTTGAACCCCTTAGGGCTCTGGAGCCCAAAGAAGAGCATCTGCTTGGGCTCTTTTTTCCAAGGAGATGCTGAGCTGTGGTGGGCTCACAGGCCCTGGGTGTCTCTGGCTACAGCTGCTCAAGTGGGGACTGATGGCTCTTCCCAGCCCACAGAGAAAAAGGAGTCCCCAGTTTTGGAGGGGAGCAGTTGGGAAATGCTTGGAGGATCCTGTTGCCTTGTCTTAGTGCTTCCTGATGGAGTGTGGGCACATGAGGCTGATAATATGCTGGGGAGGCTTTTTGTCTCTCACTGCAACTCGCCCCAGCACCCTGCACCTGCAAGGTATTCCCTCACCAGATCCTGCAAGGCACATCTGCTGCCCGAGACCTGGGACATGCTGGCTATTTCTCTGTTCTTATCTCTGGTGTGGTGATAAACCTCAGAGATCTCCTGAGGGCTTGGTAAAACCACTGCTTGGTAATGGTGGAGAGTGTGGTTTTGGTCACATGCTCTGGCAGGCTGGAAGAGCTCATCCATTTCCACTTGTGCTGTATGGACACACTGAAGCCTGAACTTGCTGGAAGAAGCAGCGTCTCTGTGGAGCAGGGAGAAGTAGAGGACAGTACCTGGCCCTGGAGGTTGGCAGCAAGGCAACAGGGACACGGGAATCAGTGGGAAATTGCCAGGCAAAGACAGACCAGAGCTCATTAATACTGCACCTTCTCAGGGACAGAAGGCCCAGGGGCTGCAGGTGTGCCTGGTGCTTTGGTTTGGGCAGCTTACAGAAGCTCCTGGCTCTCCTGGGCTGGGAACACTTGGCCAGGAGAGTGTCCCTTTAGCCACAGGAGTACTGTGCAGTGCCATCACTTTCCAGCAGGAGGTCTGTGGCTCAGAGTACAGTGCCCCAGGACCTGGTCACCTCACCTGGGTCGTGGCCACAGGGCTGCGCCCCCATGGGAGGATGAGGGCAGGACCCAGCCAAGGTTCTCTGGGCACTCCTGCCTACACTGGTGCGTGCCATCCCCACCTCCTTCAAGGTGCCAGCCTGGAGCACCGGATCCACCCAGTCTCGGTGCCCTGGGCACTACACATCTTGCAGGGATAGGGCAGGAAAAGCCACCCTGGAAAGTACACAGGCAGACTGGCACAGCCGGGGTATTTCTAGGCCATGACCAGGCTGCAGGTGTCCATGAGGTGATGTCTCAGCTATTGGGTATTTGCCTCCCTCCTCCATCTGTGCCTGCAAGGCCCTCAGCTCTGGCAGGCAGTACCAGGAGCAGTTGCAGGCAGTAACCAGCTGGTTTTCTCCCAGCAGCAGCAGAGACAACTGGTACTGGGACTGTGAGGTGGATGGAGACACAGCACATCCCAGAGCCAGGCACAGGTGGTATGAGCTGGATCACAGAGGAGCAGATGCTGCTTGTCACCATTCCCAAGCTGACCTCTCTCATCTCCCCTGCCAGCAGGGACAAAGCCAGGGGGCCCTAGAGGTCACTGAGGGGTCTGGGGGAGATGTGGCATTGCTGGGGTGGGGGGAAGGGGCTGTGCTTGACAGAGATGATGATCCCATGGGGCAGGGAAGGCTGATGGGGTAGGAAGTCATGTGCTGGTGCTTGTAACAGGATGGATGCCAAGGGGTACACATCCCTGAGGAGGTTTTAGTGCCTGGTGGCCCAGGGTCTTCTCACCTCAAGCTACTTGCTAGGGATCAAGGACAGCACTTCATCTGTCCCAAGAGCCACAGCCAGGGCATAAATGGAGGAGAAGTTAGCTGCCCCTAATCCCATCCTGGTTCTGCTGTTGCTCCAGAATGGGGGGCTGCAGCTGGCATTCCTGCCTCATTGCCATGGCAAAGGATTCCAGGGGCCCCATTTGCTGTGGATTCGAAGCTGTAAATTTGCAGTGGGGAAATGTGGCTCTTGCTGCTAGTGCAAGATGGATGCCTGTCTCTGCTCTGGGCCCCCTGTGTCTCGTCTCACAGGACTGTGTGACCTAGAGGTGCGTGGCCAGCCCACAACAGGTGGCGCATCCAGCCTGCCCAAGAGGGTTGGGCATGGGGCAAAGATGCCATGGAGGCTTGCAAGACTGTCACAGGCTTTATTTCCACATTTAGCACAGCATGGTGACCCCGTGTTCCCCTTTTCCCCATCTCCACCACTGTTGGGGTGTGGCAGACCCACCACTCCCAGCCCTCCCTCTGTGCTGTGCTTGGCACCAGGAGCTGCAGTGCCCACAGGGATCTTGGCCAGCCAGGGGACTTTAGGGGTTCCCAGCCCCTGGCTCCAGCAGTCCTGGCAGCAAGAGGGCTGGTGGGTGCCTGCAGGCATCACTGTGGCTGGTATGGCTTGGGGTCTCCAGGGAAGGGCAAGGCAGGTGCCTGGTTGAAGTGAGCCACGAGGAAGATGCCAACGGTGCCACACACGAAGAGAGAGGCCATGATGAAGAAGCAGACACGGTCGATCACCTGTCCCACCATGATCCACTCCTCGCTCTCCTGCCAGTGGCACAAGAAGGGTGAGGGCTGTCCCCAGTGCTCCCCACGTGAGTCCCTCTCCCCCCGATCCTGACTCACGCTGCCAAAGTCGTTCTGCTCCCGTGTGGCGTTGGCGATGTGGTTGCAGGCATCCACACATGCCCGGATCTCAGGACCTGCCTCCTCCAGGCTCTGGCAGAAGTCCTGGGGACTGCCACTCTCCAGGCCACGTCCTACGAGCAGCAGAGGCAGCACAGCGGGCACCAGTGAGCGCTCGGCCCCATGGCACATTGCCCAGCTTCACAGGAAGGTGCCAACCCCCTGGGGACACTCACCGATTTTCT